CATGTGGCTCTCGCCTAAGCGCCACGCGCCTTCGTCATTAAACAAACTGCAGAAGTTTCACGGTTTGAGGGCGGGCCGTTTTCAAACTGTGGCTCTCGCCTTAGCGCCGCGCGCGTTTGTCTTGAAACACTGCAACAATTTAACGGGTTGAAGGCGGGCCGCTTTCAAACTCTGGTTTTCTCGCCTGGGCTCCGCGCACATTCGTTTAAAATGGGCGGGCCGTTCTCAAAATGTGGCTTTCGCGCCTGGACGCCGCGCACATTCGCTTTAAATCGTTGGAAAGACTTCGCGGATTGAGGGCGGGCCCTTTTCAAAATGTGGTTCTCGCCCCAGCGCCGTGCACATTCGTTGCAAACGGTGCACATTTTTCGCGGATTGAGGGCGGGCCGTTCTCAACATGTGGCTCCCGCCAGGGCGCCGAGCACATGCACTATGAAGCTTGGCAATATACTCACTGATTGAAGGCGGTTCCTATTCAATGTGTAGCTCGTGCCTTAGGTCCGCGCGCATTCGTTTTGAACATTTGCAAACAGTTCACTATTTCTCAGAGTTAACGTATGTTGTTTTGGAACGACTGAGGAGTGCCAGGGCGCAGCGGTTGTTGATCCGCGGCATTTGAAGTCCCAGGAATTGTGTTCTGGCGCGATTCAGGATCACCAAGACGTAACAATCAGGTTAACTCGTGGCGCTGAAATCCTGAGGATGGTGTTTCGGCGCGCTGCAAGATGTTCACACGGTTGTCCCCCCGATGGGGCACTTCCCTGCGGAAGCGAACCCTTGCAGGGGCCTAGGACGAGGGATCTTGGGAGGAGGGTGTGTTTCAACATCGTTGATGCGTCTTGGGTTTACAACATTTCTCCTCCTCTCCCCCTCCCCCTCCTCCTCCTCCTCCTCCTCCTCCTCCTCCTCCTCCTCTCGAACACATCTGCAACTACACGCAGGAAAACTGCACCTTGTTGCGGGGACCAGGGGTGGCAATCATAATTAGATTTGGCGCGTCGGTCGGTCTGGGTGGACGGACGCCGCCTCATGACCTTCGATGGAAAGCGATGGTCGCGCCGAAAACGTTGCGTGCCAAGCGTGGAAGCGATCATCATGTTTCACGGCGACGCTTGGCGGCAGCCTCAAGAAAATTCATGACACGAACAAGCGTTTCACCCTCGGACGGGGGATCCAGCACGAAGAAGAACTCGAACGCGCGGGGGTTCGGATCGCGAATTTGTTGCTGGGGCACAAGCGGGGGAGGGAAGCGGGCTGCGCGAGGTCGAGGCTCCCAGGCATACGGCTGGCTTCGCTGAGCCAGGGGATGTGGAATGTCGGTGGGAAGCAGCCCAAGGGACGGGGCCTCGGCGATGGGCAGCGATGGGGAACGGGAGGAGGAGCGGGAGGACCTCCCGCCCCCCCTTCCCCCCCCCCTCTCCCCCTCCCCCTCCCCCTCCCCCTCCTCCTCCTTCCTTCTTTCCTTCCTCCCTCCCTCTCCACAACAAAACCTGGGTGCGATTGCACCGGCCCCTCCCTGGGAGCAGACCAACGGCCGACGTCCGTTTCCAGCTTCCCTGCGGAGGAGCGTCGGGGGGGGTGGACCAACTCCGGGGGGGGGGGGACCTCGAGCGGGAACCGGCGATCCCTCGCCGAAGGATCGGCAGATCCGCACGCTCCTGGGCGGGGTGGGCCTTCGGGCCCCTGTCGGCGACGGATGGGCGATCGGGGGTCGATGCGTGCACCCCTTGACCATCATCACCACCACCACCACCACCATCATCATCATCATCATCATCAACATCATCATCATCATCACCACCACCACCATCATCATCATCACCATGATCATCATCACCATCAGCATCGTCATCGTCATCATCGTCATCGTCATCATCGTCATCGTCATCATCATCATCATCAGTATCATCATCATCATCAGCAGCAGCATCATCATCGTCATCATCACCATCAACATCACCATCACCACCATCATCATCATCACCATCATCATCATAAGCATCATGACCGTCACCTTCACAATCACCATCACCATCACCACCATCACCACCAACATGATCATCATGATCACCATTATCATCATGATCATGATCATCGCCATCATCATCATCATCATCATCATCATCATCATCATCATCATCATCATCATCATCAATCCCCCTGACGTTACCCCTGTCGCCGGGGAGCCCGGGGGGAAAGGAGGAGGGGCGGTCAGAAGGCTCGGAAGTCCCCCGGCCTTCAGAGGAACTTTCTTAGTTTTCCCCGAAGGCACAGAACACATCTCGGAAGTCCAGAGCGCTTCTGGGAACTTGCCTCGCTTTGGACCACCCTCGCTTCCAAACAAGAACCGAACGATACCAAACTGCCCGTGGGTGGGCCCGCAGCGGTCAGGCTGCTTGATGAGGAGGCGCTTGGTATGACCTGGTTTCGCCTAGAAGCGCAAGCGGGGTGGGTATTTCGCCCCCTGACAATGGCGACCAAGAGCACTCCAAAGTTTGCGGGGGGACGGAAGGGTGGGACAGCACAGGGCAGGGTAGAGCATCAACTCACGTCGATGGCTTTCCTGGCGCCTCCTGGCGCCGGGAGGCGCCCATGTGTTGAGGAATGGCAGGCCCGGTGGCGGGGACGAAACCGCCTGCACGGAGCAGATTTCGAACCCCCCCTTTCTCTATCCCGCCCTTTCGTCTGGCCCGACAGGTGGTGAGCCCAAACACGAGGACTGTATGCATATTTGGTCGTCGTCGGTCTTCCGTCGTCGTCGTCGTCGTCGCCGAAGTATTCGACAACGTCGGGAACGCCCCAAATCGGCTGCACTGGTCGGAGGCCACTGCAAGATGGGTACCCTTCCAGAGCTATGGGTATCCTCAACTCTCGTGCCATCTGTGCACGGTGCCCCTCGCAATCGGGCGCACCTCCGCGCAGTCTGGCTCTGGCGTCGTGCCCGGCAAGTCTCCACAGAGTCCCTGTGGGCCACAGGAACAGCGACTAGAACGCCGCGTGCCAACGCCTCGACGTGTCCTCTTTGCAGACTCTGCGTGCTCGTGTGCGATCCGACTTCGGTGTTCGTCTGACCCAATGCTGCCTCTGCATTCGATTCCTTGCCCCTCCTCCTCTGCCTCATCCGTTCCGCTCTGTAGCGACTCGCCCCTCCTCCTCCCTCTCTTCCCTCCGCCTCCCCCGCTGGCCTTCCTCCTCCTCCTCCTCCTTCTCGACCCCCTCCTCCTCATCCTCGTCCTCCTTCTGCTCGTGTTTTTTGGTCTTCCCAACTGAGGTCGCCATCGACCCAGAGGTAGCTGAGGAAGGGGAGGACGAGAGGATGGAAAGGGGGCTTTCAAAGACTACCGCCGTCACAAGTGTGATATATCAGAACTCGCAGCTCGTGCCGTGGGACGCCGCGATCCCTTCGATCCGAATGCTCGCGACGCGCCCAGGAAACATGCTCTCCGCAGGGCTCCCCGATGGGGAGGAGGGGCAAAAGGAAGAGTCGGCGGTGGAACATCCCTTAGTAAACCACCCTTAAAGGAAAACGGCCTGGGACCGAAACCGACGGACCTGGACCCGCGAAAATGACGGCCGCGACGCCCTCTCGCGAACCGAAAACGGCCAATTCGCTAATCGACGTGTCCAGGTAGGAGTTTTATCGACCTCCGAAAGAGGCGGGCGCGGGAGCAGGGGTCGTCGCTCTTGTTGGCTCCGGTCCGCAAGACAACTCGGCACCTCCAAGCATGCTGCACACTTTGTTTTTCAGGGAACGCAGCGAGAAGGGGTGGCAACAGCCGATGATCAACGACTCGCCTGTCTCGACTCAACGCGATGGCTGGGCTGCGATGCTGGCGGGCAGTCTGTTTGGATGCCCGAAGTGGGTCCGGAAAAGATGGGTACGGTGCCCAACGGCTCAAGATCGCTCAAGATCGAACAAGATAGCTAACAACATGCCTCCAAGAGGCCCCAAGAAGGCCACGAGACGGATCCAAGTGCTTTTGGAACCCCCTCAGGACCTCCCCGAGAAGCCAAAGTCCTTCAAATGCCAACGGACACCAATTATTTTGGCCTTGTCGCCCTTTCGCGTCCGATGTGCTTTTGAGGCTTCAGGATGACCGCAAAATGATCCAAGAGAGCTACAAGAAGGGCCCAAGAGGCCCCCAAGACGGCCCCAAGAGCAAGATCGCCCCAAGGGGGCCCCAAGAGCGCCCCAAGAGGCTATTTCGACGGCCCTGGAGGGGCGACGCAAATCGAGGACCACCCCTCCTTTGATCGGTGGTCTCCAAGATGGTCCCAGGAGGCGCTCCATCGCTCCCATGAGGGCGCCAAGAAAGCCCCAAGAGAGCCCCAAGAGGGCCCCATGAGGGCCCCAAGGCGCCCCCAAGAGCCCCAAGACCCCCCAAAGAGCCCCAAGATGCCCCAGAAGAGCCCCACGAGGACCTCAAGACGCCCCCCCAAGCCCCATAGCTCCAAGAAGGCCTCCAATGTTCCAAGATAGCCTCCACCATGGCTCAACACGTTCCTCCCCCTCCTATCTTTGACCGCTCTGTTTCACCACATGCGTCTCTGATTTCCATTTCCCGTCAGCTCTCGTGGGCAGGGCTTATGAGTGGGCTGGTGGGGATTCGCGAAGCGTGAACCATTGGGAAATGGAAACTTGTCGGTCTTCGTACCCATTCTTTCCGTACGCATTTCGACCGCACCGAAAAACTGTGGCTACAAATGGCTCCTCGGATTCTGGGCGCGCCACGCCAGCAGTGCGGCATTGGACGGCAGATTCGTACGCCCATTGGGCGCGCTTCGACGAATCGGGTGCGGCGCCCATGCTTCACACTTGGCGCCGACGACGTCGTCGGACAAGCAGTCGCACCATGCATCAACTGCCAAACAACGTTTCCTGGTCCTCCCGCTCCTCCTCCCTCCACCTCCTCCGCCTCGGCCTCCCTCCCACCCCGTTCTCCCCGTCGTCCGTCTCACCTCCTCCTCGCTTCCTGTCAGCCCGTGTCCAGCCCCCATCTGCCCCGTCCCCATCCTCTCTTCCTCGCGTGGCTGGCGGCACGGTGGACTCATAGCACACTCATTCAAGCACACCTTGCAAACTGTGTCGTCCCACCTGCGGTTGAATAGAACAATCCGTCGACCACGTCGAATCAGGGGCGCGTGTACGCAATGCCTGAGTCAAGAATTATTCCGCGCCTTCCACTATTGATTCTTCGTCTGTCTGCATACGACCAAAAAACGGACAACGGGCGCAACAGGTGCAACAAGGGTCCGCGTAACACTCGTCGCTCCGACCAGGGAACCACCAATCAATGAAAGTCGGAATCATGATCAAGAGCACGAGTGTCGCAGCTGCAGCGGGGATGGCTGCCACCCCTCCAGAACCAACGCTCACCCCAATACCAAGGTACGTAACGCCAGCATTCATGATTCCTTTCATGGCCTGGTTGCCATCTCGCCGCAAGTACGCACTGCCCAGAATTATGAAAAGCAGCACGGAGGCGAAGAAATTGCCGACGAAGCCAGCCAGAGCACCACATACCGCATTTTCACTGCTGCCCACTCCCTTCGCCTTCTGCCTCCTCTTGTCACACCAGTGCCACGGGCAAACGATGGTCTGGTCGTACAGCTTCCCGCTGAATCTGCAGCGCGGCTTGGAGCAGAAGCAGAAGAGAAAACCACAACAGCCCGCATCCTCATCACAGCACGGCATCACCGTATAACACTTGCAGCCGCACGGATCACAGCACGCCATGCCGGCGATGGGGGGGGGCCGCCTCGCTCCCCGCGAAAAGTCTGCACCGGTGCGCCGCGGCGCTCGGGTCTCGGCGACGACCGCTTCGAGGACCCCTGGCCAGAACGGCTCGCGCAGCCTGAGCCAGCGGCACTCCGCCGTCAGCGCTCGGCCGACCCCCTGTGAGCACCCCCTCTCGCGCTCATCCATGGAGTTCCTCTCTCGGGCCCCTTCGTCGACTCACCCCTCGTGCTCATGAATGCAGTGGAGGCCAGTCCACCAGAAACCCAACCCTGAGATCCCAGGACGGAGGCGGAGGAGGAGGAGGAGGAGGAGGAGGAGGAGGAGGAGGAGGAGGAGAAGATGAACGATGGGCGGGGTCCTGAGGGATCCTTCCGGCGGCGAGCGGGGGGGGGAAGTGAGAAGGGGCGGGCCTTCGCAGAGGCTCGAAGTCCCCCGGCCTCCTGAGAAGTTTTCAGAGCCTTCCCCGAAGACGCAGAAAACCTCTCAGAATGCGCGGGGAGCTCCTGAGAAGTCCCGCCGCAATCTGAGAAGGCCTTCTCCTTCTCATTTCCCCCCTCGCTCGCTGCCGATCCTTGCGTCCTCGGTCCATCCGTTTAAAGTTTGGAGGACCGAAACGTGGGCACGGAGAGAACAGGGGTAGACAGACTGACAGCAACGCTTTTCCTTTTTGGACGGGAATCGCTGTCGGCGTCGCGGAGGGCGTTGTCCACTTGATACCAAAGCCGCCCGCCCCACAGCGGCCGCTGTCGGTTCTAGACAACATTTGTTGTTGGGCGTCGTACTCACTTTTCCCGTGCCTACTTCGGGCGTTCAAATCAACCCCTTTGAATGGCCAGCCCCGCTCGAAAAGCTTCGACATGTGCGTCCAAGGGGCCTGCATCCTTATCGCGCACCTTTGCTATCAAGCTTGCCTCTGCACCGCCTCCGTGATCTCGGCACGCTGGGGCGTGTCAGGATGCTGCTCTGCTGCCTCGGGGGGCAACGGCTGGGGGGGAAGGGGGGGGGGGGCAGCTCAAGGGGGGGGGGGAACATCGAGCTGGAATTGGCCATGCCTCGCCAGTAGATCGGCGATAGGCCCCCGACAGCGAATCCGCACGCTCCTGGGGGAGGGGCTATCGGGCCGCTGCCGGGGATCCATTCGCAGTTTGGGGTCGATGCATCCCCCCCATGAGCCTATCCCGCATATCGTTGCCCCTCGTGTCTGCCGGAGGCTTCAATAGAGTTTTCCAAGGCCGCACCCACTCTCGTCGCGACCCTCCCCCGCCGAATTTGCTATCCCGCGCTCTTTTCGGCTTCCAGACGGCTCCAAGACAACCAAGAACTAAGGGGATCCAAGATGGTCTCAAGATGCCTCCAAGCTAGTCCAATATGCCTCGAAGACAACCTCGGATTGCCCCAAAATGACTGCCCAAGAGGACCCCGATGCAGCCCAAGAGGACTCCAAGGCCCTCCAGGCGGGCCCAGAGAAGCTAAAATCATTGTGTTTCTTTGATTTTCATTTGTTTTTCTCGTTTCCTCCTTATCGGGCTTCTGACAGCCCAAGAAACCTCTAAGACGGCCCGAAACTTCTTCAAGAACCCCCCCCAAAGACGGCCTCCGAAGACGCCAAGTAAGACTGCCGAAGAGGCCCGAATGAGGCCCAAAGAGATCCCAAAGAGGCCCCGAAGGCCCTCCAGGAGGCCCATCACAGGCCCCCAAGAGTCGAGGGAACGAGGTGGAGTTTAGGACCCACTCGAGTTTAGACCGCGCGCTGAATTGGGGCGGGTCTTTTACTCAGCCTCCTTCACTGCGCTGCTGCGCTGGCCCGGTGGCGGGGTTTGCCGAAGGCAACTGGATAGCTAAACGGACGGAGGGCAAACCATGTTCAACATGTGACTGTCGCCTCAGCGCCGCGCACATTTTCGCCCTGGTTGAGCTGAGGCCGTGTTGGGGGAGCGTGCTGCAGCATCGTTGAGCACCCTGGGCTTGCTACAGCACCTCTCCTCGATGCTATGCTATGCTGGAGCGGACCGTCCGTCAATGCCGCACGAGCCTGAAAGTACCCGAGGCGTGCCAAACCCTTTTGTTTGAGGAGCAGGAGATGGGAGCGGACAGCGAAAATATATACAACTCGCCTACGAACGTGGCCAAAACGCCAGTCGGGGAGGACGGCTTCGGGCCTCGCCGCGATTACGTTGCTGCTTACTGTAGGCGCCGGCTGGAGCGGACAAATCCTGCCCTCCCAGGAGATGGACGCAAACAAAAGGAGCTACCTGTGACGAGTATTGCCCGGGCGAACGGTCCAGGAGGAGGAGGAGGAGGAGGAGGAGGAGGAGGAGGAGGAGGAGGAGGAGGAGAAGGCGGACGGGCGAGGAACGGGAGGGGAGGGAGGGAGGAGGAGACAAAAGAACACCCAGATGGCGGATGACACGAAATCCGCGCAAGGCGAACCCGTGTAGGGCGGATCCGCGAGTGAACGCTCCATGCACAAGAGCACATCTCCGCCGCGCTCCCCTCAGAAGCCCGCGCAGGTGGCGATCGCTGCGCAACCCGAGCTCCTCCCGGGAGCCCACGAGAGTGAGGACAGGCGCGCACTTCACAACCTCCGACGGAGCCGCGAGGCCTCGCCTTCGCCCCCGGGAGCCCACGAGCAGTGCGACGATGTTGCCCAGCTCGCAGCCCCCGTGCCGCGCCTGGATCTGCGCGGCCCGGCACTCCGCCGTGCCTCCCGGCCGCCCACGAAAGCAGCGACGGCTGCGCGGCTCGCAGCCCCCGAGGGCGCCGCGAGGTCTCGGATGGATCCCGATGGCCCTCGCCTCCGCCGTGCCTCCCAGGAGCCCGCGACAGTGGCGACAATCGCGGAGTCTGCAGCCCCCGAGGGAGCCGCGAGGTCTCCAGTGGGGCTGCGTGGTCCTCACCTCCGCCGTGCCTCCCAGGGGCCCACGATAGTGGCGACAGTTGCCCAGTTCGCAGCCCTGGACGGAGCCGCGAGGTCTCAAATGGATCTGCGCGGTCCAAGCCTCCGCCGTGCCTCCCAGGAGCTCACGACAGTAGCAACAGATGACCAGTTCGCAGTCCCCGACATTGGCACGAGGTCTCTGCGTGGCCCAGCACTTCGCCGTGCCTCCGAGGAGCCCACGAAAGTGACGACCGTTGCGCAGCTCGCAGCCACAAGAGGACGCGGCAGATCCAGGTGGGCGGAGGAGGGGCGTGGGGAGGCTGCGCGAGCAGTGCCCTATTCAACACGAGAGCCCAACACACAGGAGGGTTGCGAACAACTAGGCTCGAACGAACCAGGAAGCCTAGTATAATGTTTAGTCTTCTACTCGCCATCGCTCGGCATCCATTCCCTGTGTTTGTTTCGGTTTCCTGCGTGTTTTTTTTTTTCGCAAAATGATCAAGGATGCTCCTCGATGACCCTCGCCGAAGGAAAAATGCACACGTCCGAGCGATGCCAAGTCTAAGGGGCCCCCTCTCCCTCCTGGTGGCTCCTTGTTGCGTGCATCGCCCACGCCCCCCTCCCCGAGACCACGACCTCTGGTTACAAAAAAAAACATGGGTCTGCGATCCCGAGGCCACGATCCATCGTCACAACAACATGGATCTGCGGTCCCGAGCTTCCCAGACGGCCAAGTCAGGCAACGAAGGCCGTCAAGAAGGCGAAGGATGCCTCCAGGACGGCCCAAGATGGCCCGAGGCGGCCAGAATCGGCCGAAAAAGTCAGCACCGACTCGCGTGGCCCGACACGAGTGAAGGCGAAGGCCTCCTCACTCCCGCTGCTGCTGCTACACTAGAGGTGAACAACCACTGCCCAAACATACAATTTTGGAGGTCCGCTCGGATTTCTTGGATCGGCGCTGGGCCCCCCTCCCTGGCGCGCGGAATGCGCCAGGGGCGGCGCCAGAGGGTTCCTCACTTTCTACCAGACCACCCCAATCTAACCCGAAGGCCCACACTTCGGGTCCACACTTCGGGTTAGGGGGGGTACGGGTTCCACATATGTGCTTTCAGTGTTCCCCGACGGCCCCCCCACTGGGAAAGGAGGACAAATTTGGGCCTTTCGGGTTGGGTTGGGGTGGTTAGGTGGGTGGTGAGTTTCAGCGCAGATCCAAGAAATCTGCCCGGACCTCTGGAAGTTTACGAAACGGCCCTGGGACACACACAAATAAATAGACACAACTAACAGGATTCCCAATCGTCTTCCATATTGTCTGGGTTTTCGTCTTCCCCCCCGCTTCCCATATTTTCCTATATGTTCCGGTGGGTCGAAGATTCAAATTGTGTATGTGTGCTTTTTCCCCTCCTGAATTTATGTTTGGGAACGCATTATCGGTTCCCCCCCCGCTATATCCAGCGGCCCCAGAAATCATGACCTGGTTCCCGACGGGGGTTGGGGGGGGGAACACCAAGAGACATCGCTAATTAGCCCTCCGTGAGCTCAGCAGTGCCTGGGGAGGGAGCGGCGAGTGGGCGGGACTCTTCGGAAATCTTTCAGGGACCCGCAGGAATCCTCAGGAATCGACTCACCTTGGAACCCCCGGGAAACCTGCAGGAATCCCCAGTGATCCTCAGACATCTCGAGGAATCCTCAGACATCCTGCAGGCATCCTGCGAGAATCTGTGGGAACCCCGCAGGAATCCTCAAGAGTCCATCATGAATCAAGCATGTTGAACTCAGGAATCATGGGGAATCCTCAGGCATCCCCAGGAACCCTCAGGAATCGCTCATAAATCGTGCAAGCATCTGATTGGAATCCGACTGGGGTCTTGCTGGGATCGTATAACTCGTGATCTTCGACCCCGCACTGAGGGCTCCGGGAGCGGACTATATATATATATATATATATGTGGTCGCCCCCCTGTGATCATACATTTCGTCGTCGTCGTCGTCGTCCTCCTCCTCCTCCTCCTCCTCCTTCTCCTCATCTCGGGGGAGAGGAGTATGGGGGGGGGAGTAAGCGGAGGAGACGGAGGAGGGTGTCCGCGGGGGCCGAACGGGAGACCGAAAAACAGGAGAAAAACAATAAGAATAAAACAACACCTGTGTTTTCACATGGGAAGCACAAAAAAAAAACTCCCCCTTCGAGGGCGGCGGGGAGGAAACAAAGGGAACAACATCTCTCCCCCGTCTCCTCGAGAAACAACAAAAAAA